CACAGCGATTGTTCCAGATTCTCTGAATCTTTTGATGATGTTATGCACGGTTGATGATGATAACTTAAAAGTCTTTGCTATTTTACGCTGGGTAACACCATTCTGGTATTGCTGCACTATCTTTCTGCGCAACAATCGTGGAATTGGTGATCCTCTTACCATCTTGGCTTCTGAGAGACACTGACACTCTGGGAAGCTCTTTTTATACCCAATCATGTTGTCAATTGACCTAATTAGTGCTAATTAGTCTTCCAGCTGTTCGTTATATGCTCAATTTACGTTTTCCTGCCACTTAGTGCTACTTGTCCCAACTGTTGTGGGATTTGTTGACACTGAAATTTTGAATCAACACATTTTTCCTTTAAAATGTTACATTTACTCAGATTAAACTTTTGATCTGTCATCGATGTGCTATTCCAAATAAAATATTGACATTTGTTATCTCCACATCATCGCATTCAGTTTTAATTCACAATTTGTTTAGTGTCCCAACTTTTTTGGAATCCGGTTTGTAAAAATAAAACAAATTATTAATACAACTGCTGACGAGAAATACAATTTACAGCAACTGCTTACCTGAGACATGGTCAGTTACCCCACTGACAAGCAAACGGATCCCAAATTCCACCTATGCAGTACAGCTGTAACAAAAACCTATTTTGAAGGCTTTGTTTACATGGGGCGAACCTGGCCACAATAGCCCTTCACTTCCTGTCAGTAAACAAACAAACGGACAGATCGGTCTATACGTTGGAGATGCAGCAGAGGAGGCTGAACAAATAGACCAGTTAACATTAATATCTGGTATTAAAGCCGACAAACATTGAAACAGCCACGCTTACCCAGCACGGTGCAAAGAAAGCAAATGGAGTTGATGTCACGACGCAAGAAGCCTCACAACAGGTGAGGGCTTGCTTATATGCAGCAGCCAAAATTGGCCTTAAAGTGGCAACGTCATCGGGCGAAATTATAATTCTTAATATCTCATAAACTAAAGCTGCACATACGCTAGTTTCACCGGAACAAACGAGCACTAACGAAGCACTAAAAAA